CGAGAGAAATCTTGCAAGTTACCAGCCGGACGAGGACGCGCGCCTGGCCGTCATCGCGGCCGACGTGGGGCTGCCGGGCCTGGCGCTGCGGCTGAACCCGGACGGCGTGCTGCGCCGGAAGCGGCTCTGCAACGGCGACCCGCCCCCGGCTTCGAGGCGTTCTGCGCGGACACCGCGCGCGAGGTGCGCGCCTACCTCGCCGGGCCGCCCGGCGACTCGCTGCGCCAGCTGGGGCTGCCGGCGGACTGGTGGGCCTCTAGGGAGGTCGCCGGAGAGTGATCCTGCGGCATATATAAAAAGGGCTGAAGTGACACGTCAATTTTCATGCAGAGCAGGGGCGGGATGGAGTAGAGGGTCCTCTGAAAGGCTGCCCCCGTCGCGCTTGCCTCCGGGCCCGCGCCTGGAGCCCCTTTGGGCAGTCTCGAGGTGCCTCTGGCCAGGCCGCGCAGCGGATGCAGTTTGGTTTGCTTGGTGTGCACTGCAGGTCGGTCCAGATCCTCGTGAGCTTCCGGTAGCTGTAGTCGTAGGAACAATAGGTCACTTCCACGTAAGCATGTATTCGCTGGTTTTCAGAGCCCGATGCTCGGATTCTTGAGCGCCCAGTGCCTTGGCTGCAGATGAGTTCCAGGGTTCTCAAGACTAGCCGGTCCGTCCCATTCGCAGACGTCCGATGGTGGCCCCGGCCGCTGGGTCCAGGTTGAGGTTAGTCACCTCCCAGCCCAGGGCCCTGAACGCCCGCCCCACGCAGCCCGTGCCCAAGAAGTGCTCGAGTAGCCTGGGCGGGGTCATCGCTTTCCTCCGGGCTCTCGGTGAGCATCCACAGGAAGGCGGCCAGCCCGCCGATGAGGCAGGCCAGCTCCAGGTTGCAAATCAGGCACTTTCTGAAGGTCATGGGCGGCGGTCGCGGGGGCGGGTCGGACCAGTCAGGCGGCGCCATTTATGCGGCGGAGCAGATCCGGCCCACGGCGGTCTCGGATCTTGGAGCAGCCCCGACCGGATCATTTGCAACCTAGCAGCTTCGGTGGCGAGGAGCAGCGGCGCGTGAACCTCTGCCTGGAGCCCGGCGAGGGGGCTCAGGAGTTCTTCGGGAACGTGGAGCGCGTCCTGGTCGAGGACCTGGCCAGGAAGTCGATCCACGACACGAAGATCTTCGGGAAAACCCTCGACTGATTCGAGGTGGAGGCGCGGCTTCAGTCGTGCCTGAAGACCTCCCGTTCGGGGGGACAGTTCCTCAAGCTGAAGCCCTGGAGATCCCAAAAGTGATATTTAATCGTCGGAGCCAAAAGTCTGGCCACAGATGATTTATTTTATCGTCGGAGTCCTATGTAGATTTATTTTATCGTCGGAGCTGCA